TTCCTTGAGCGGCCAGAATCCAGCGCGGGGCCGGGAATGGGGAGGCGTGGGGGGGGGGGGGGGGCAGCTGGGGGTGCGCATGCTTGCAAGGTGGTTGGGTAGATGAAGAGGCAAAATGTATGCAGAGGCAATAACACTAAAATTGGAGAGTTAGAGTTGAGAGAGTTAATTTAGAGGTAGAGGTTGGGGAAGGCAGGTTTTTGAAACTGAAGGAACAATGGAGAGTTTATGGTGGTGTATCTGGGAAAGGCAAATATATACAATACCAGAATGACTGGAGTCAAGGTTTGTTTAAAGAAGGGGGAAACTAGAGGGTGGGTGACCTCAAAGGCCATGCTAAGCAGCATACAATTTATTCTCTAGACAATGAGGACCCATTTCGGGCTTTTGAAATACAGTAGCCAAGTCTCTGACATACGCTAATCTAAATGTTGCTTTCTTTTTTTTCAGATGGCTGTTTCAAATATTAGATATGGAGCAGGAGTTACAAAGGAAGTGGGCATGGCAAGTATTTGAAATGATTGCAGCCTCCTGCTGCAACTGTGCTAATGGACAATAATCGAACCCTTTATTCTTAAAGATCACAGTGTTAAGCTTGCGCACAGCGTCTACTGCAGCTTTATTGCAATCAAACCTAACTCATGAATTGATTTTTATTGTAGGATCTACAGAACATGGGGGCTAAAAATGTTTGCTTGATGACAGACAAGAACCTCTCCCAGCTCCCTCCTGTACGAATAGCTATGGATTCCCTAGTAAAGAATGGCATCAACTTTCAGGTTTATGATGGTGTGAGGGTGGAACCCACAGATACAAGGTAACTCTATAGTGCCCCTGTTAATTACTAAACACAAATGGCTGTCATTGAAAATTTGCCCCAGGCCTTATTTAATGCCATGGCAATGTATTTCTGAAAGGTATGATGACATAATGGTCTTTTCTTTTCTGTTCTCCAAGCTTCATGGATGCAATTGAGTTTGCCAAAAAAGGAGCCTTTGATGCCTATGTTGCTGTGGGTGGGGGCTCCACCATGGACACCTGTAAAGCTGCTAATCTGTATGCATCCAGCCCTCACTCTGAGTTCCTTGATTATGTCAACGCCCCCATTGGGAAGGGAAAGCCAGTGACAGTGCCACTTAAGCCACTGATTGCAGGTAAAGACTCTGCTTGTTTCCTTTATTTTGCAAGTTGCAAAAAAAGGCCCTAAGAACCATGTCAGCTATTAATACGAAAAAAAAAATCTGTATTTCCAAAACTTTCTGACTTGTACATTTCAAATAAGTGCATTGTTTAGAGACCAAAACAGTTCTTTCATTTTTAAAACTCTGATTTTGCTATTGCCCAGAGAAAGAATTTGGTTCCAAAACTTTCTGACTTGTACATTTCAAATAAGTGCATTGTTTAGAGACCAAAACAGTTCTTTCATTTTTAAAACTCTGATTTTGCTATTGCCCAGAGAAAGAATTTGGGTCAGTGGGAGGAAGCCTGCAGATTTAGGGCATGGAGTCACAGTGTGGAGGAGGGGAAGGATCCTCCATGACATTTGGTAGGTTCCTCTCTTGGCAGGCTTATCCTCCAAACCCATCTGTTTTGTCCCATTTTGCCAGCCACTGTGGAGTTTGAAGAGAACATTTGCTGTTATTTCTCAATGACTCAACCGCTTCTCCCACACAATGGCTCTTCAGCTGACCTCAAGCTTTGTCTCTTTCCTGGGACATGTGGCCATGTCATTCTGGAGGACATCTGCTCCATGACTGCCCAGTGCACAAATCCATATTAAAAGAACTTGAATGTTCCACAGGGGGCCTTGGGATTTTCTAGTCTTTTCTTCCCTCTCTTTTTTATGACTGTTAGCACATTACTCATTAAAGATTTGTAGCTAAAATACACTAACTGGGAACAGGGAGGTACTCTCAGTTTAAGTCTTGTCTCCGTTCTCCCCTCTCCTGCCCTGCTGTAAATGACCAGCAAAGGGACCTGAGGGAGTCAGTGGCAGATGACCTGCTCCAAGTGAATGAGGAAGCAGCAGGGAGCAGCATAATTGGGGTCTGGCAAATGGGACCCTCTGGTGAACCATGTCAGCATCACACAGAGAGGTGATTAGTTAAGTTTAAATACTTGACAGAACTGCAAAACCACGAGGCCCAGCAAAGGCAGAGAGTTCTGTGCTTGTTGCCAAGCAGTAATAAAGATGTCTTTTAGAGACAGAAAAACTGAGTGTTCCTACAGTGTTCCTACAGAGGTGCTGAGCAGTGTAAGCTCGACTCTAGAAGTTTCCAGAGCTCATAGCTGCCAATATGACACAGGCTTCATACACAGATATGATTAACATACATGTGTTAATGCTGACACAGACATGATACATGTATGTTACCACAGAGATCATATATTCAATACATATTTATGACAATGGAGATAAACATATGAAACATTTGTACAGGTACAGATACCATGCATATTAAACACAAGCATAGTAATCATGCATGCATATTAATGCAGGCATGTATCTCATGCATGCATGCTAGCACAAATATAGAAGCCGTGTAAACATGAAGTAGACCTGCATGTACCTACAGAGACGTGATATATATTAAACATGCATGTGCATTCAAACAGCATCATATATATATGCTAGCACAGATACAAGTCTCATACATCTATGCTAATAGGTCTATACATTATACATGCTAATGAGAACAAATTGCATGCATAGTAATACAAGCACAGACATCACATATGTCATCTTTACATCCATGTCATACAAATACATATGTCAGACAAGCAGTAAGGTCCATGATGCTTCCTTCCCTAACTTTGTTTCTTATTTCTAGGGCTAAATTAAATATCTCTACTGACCTTTATTTGGATACTTTCTAATATTAATATTATTTTGTTCAAGTTCCAACTACCTCAGGAACCGGGAGTGAAACCACTGGGGTTGCCATTTTTGACTATGAGCATTTGAAAGTGAAAACTGGTAAGAACGTCACACATAATTTTTTTTTTAGTTCTCTCATTTTTTAACCCCACTCTCTTGTCTTTAATGCTATTATTTGGAAATCAAGGAGTTGTTAAGGGAGAATGCACACAGTCTCTTTTTCAAAATTCATATTAAAATAGTCTAATAAACTTGTTGAGAATTGCCCACAAAAGTCTATCAAAATGCCAAGAATCTTAATGGGCCATTCTTCTGCCCATGTTATTGGCTGAATCAGTGATAAATGGGTGTGTCCTCCCTTTGGCATTTTTTAACATTTTAAATCAATTTTATTGAAATGCAATCTTATATAATAAGATGCACATTTTTCAAGAGTCTGACTTGAGTTTTAACAAATATACATATGTAACCAACACCTCAATCAAAATTCTAAGCATTCCTGTAACTCCAGAAAGTTACCTCATGTTCCATGTAATCGTCATAGTCCCATTCCAGATCACTTTTTTTTGTTCTTTTTTCTGACTTAGTCATTTTTATCCTGCTTCTCCTTGACTCTTGGCTGTTCTGTTAGAAATCCTTCTCCGTGAGTCTGGCCTATGTACTCCTTCCAGCCCTTGTAGCCAGATAAGTTGACACTTACCTGAATACTTACAGTGATGTTTTTATTTTAATTAAGTTACATGATCCTTTGACATTGTTAACAACAATAACAACCAACACTTAAATTCAGCCTTATATTTTTAAGATTTACATATATATTATCTCGTTTGATCCCTACAGTTCTGTGAGGGATAAGGCCCTGTACTGTTATAGTTTAATCTGGGTTGAGGGTGTAGTTCAGTGTAGAACACTTTCCTAACATTTACAAGACCCTGGATTTAATCCGTGGCACTATGGTGTGTGTGTTGGGGAGGGGATGGTTAAGTGACCTGTCCAGTGGCACAAAGCACAGTGTAGAACAACAGACAGTGGCATGCTAGTAAGCAACTTCTTCAAAACTGAATAATAAGCTCTAGTATATAGTTTTGCAAGTTTCTATGGAATAAACACTCCCAGCCAGGCCAGTGGTGTCACTCTTCTGGAGGGCTGGAAGAGATCCATGCCCCAGCCCTGGTATCTAGGGGATTCAGCCCCAACATACCACTGAAAGCCCAGTTTGTGGTTCCAGATCTTTTCACTGTCCTTTGCTGCCTCACTACATAAAAATAAATCTTTTCTTATACTTTTGTTTTCAAATTTATTATCCTGTTTATTTAATTTTTTAATGGTGAGTTTTCCTTTAGCATCTATTAAAAATCTTTATGTTTCAGGCATTGCTTCACGAGCCATCAAACCTACACTGGGACTAGTTGATCCTCTGCACACTCTCCACATGCCTTGCCAGGTGGTTGCCAACAGTGGCTTTGATGTCCTTTGGTAGGTACTGATGCCATCTGGAGGGGCTTTTCAGAACTGGTCTATAAACAGTATTTTTCCACCCAGGTGCCTATTCATACTGATAAGCCCTCATTGATTAGCATCCACAGCACCCCTTGCATTGGCTGCCTCTTTCCTAGATGAAAACATTGAAGCTAGAAAGATCAATGACTGGGTGCCATCCTGTGAGAGCCACAAACCTGCTGTTCAGGGTGGACCACCCAGACTTCTCTGACCACACAATCACAACTAAAGGGTCAGTTTAAGATGACACACAGTACTCAGGACCATACCACCTGCCGCTGTGATCACATAAACCAGGAAAAGCTCAGGGCTGCACCAGGAAGGAGGGTACAGAAGGTGGCTAGTGTCTCCAGGATATAGGCCCAACATGTACACTCTCAGCACCTCACACACATCATCATCTCCTGGTAGCACTGTGCAATGTGAGACTCTCACTAGCAGAAAAAGAGAACTGGATTTCAGGGCCTCGATGATGTGACCAGACTCAATGCACAGTGAGCCAGGGCTCCCATCTGCATTTCAATGACAGATCTCATTCCTGGACTGGGCATTTGTGCCAGTCTCCTTGCGGAGCCCTTCAGGTACTTTACTTTCAACATGTCCCCAATCACCATAGCTCATCCACAGGCTCATGCATGTTTTATCATAGTTTCAACACTTTGAAATCAGGACATATGTTAAAATCAAAATCAGTTTTTTTAATCCTAGCAGTGTGTTTTAAATCTTAAAATGCTGCATTTTATAATGTACTCAGCAGCCTTTAAATATATGGTGGCATCTTAAAGCTGATGAAATGTGATCATTCCCTTAAGCATCCCCCATACTGCAGCTTCTCCTAAGTCCGTGGTCTCAGCAAGTAGCAGGACTCCACAGACACCTCTCCTGTCTCATCATGCCCACAGTCAGTCACCAGATAATGTTTCATGTGCCAGTTGAATCTCTCATATCTGTTCTGTCTTCTCAAGCCTCAATGTTCCTTGGTTCAAGTCTGCCTCAGCCCCTGCCTGAACCATTGCAGTAGCCTCCTTACTGGTTTCCCTAGTTCCATCCCATAGTCCTTCCAACTCTCCCACAAGCTTCCAGATTGAAATATGACCAATTACACATGCAGGAATGTGCACACACACTTCTTTGTCTGTAATGGTTTGAGTGTAAAATGCCCTTCCCAGGGTCATGTGTTTGAACACTTGGTCCCCAGTATGTGTTACTGCTCTGGGAGGTTGTGGAACCTTGAGGAGATGGGGCCTGCCTGGTGGCCTTGGAGAGTTACAGCCTGGCTGGCTGTGTTTCCCGTCCTATTCTCCACTTTCTGATCAGGCCAATATGTGAGAAGCTCTACCAAAAGCTCCCAGTGTGTGGGCGGAGCTGCTTCTGCCACTGTGTCTTCCCTGCCATGATGGACTGAGACCCATTGAAACTGTGAAGTGAAATAAATTCTTCTTCCCTGGTGTTGCTTCTGTCAGGGATTTTGTCACAGCAATGAGAAAAATAGCTAATACATTACCCTGTGAGTCGTTCAGGGACTTTCCACACTTATTATAGAAGGGTCAAACTCTTTAGACTGTGATATAGCCCAATACTCAGCTCTTTATCGCTTGGAAAACTTTGAATTCCACAGGCACACCTACTCCTCCTTGAAGCCCTTACTCCACCCCCCCCCCAACTCCTCTTCAAGTACAGCTTATTCTTTGCTGTTCCCTAATAGCCTGTTCACCACTTCTGAGACACTCTCTCTCCCCTTGTCCATCTCTCCCATCACATCATGAGCTTGGTGGAGAACACAGCCATCTTCCCTAGCACTTCCCCTAGGACAGGGCTTGTGACTGTCACATCAGTGAATTAACTGCTGTTGAATAAGGATCCATATCTAAGACTAGAAAATCCCTGATCTGCATTCCTTACTGTGTTCTAGATAACTGTGTCCAAATTCATTCTGTTCAATATTATCAAACTTTCATGAGTTGTCTCTCAATTGCTTAGAAATAAGAGAAATAAGTTTACCCTCCCTAGCTATAAAACATATAATAAATACACCATGGCCCAAGCAGTTACTTTTTTTTCTATATATTCAGTTTAATTCTGAGATGTTTTGAAAAGTTTAAACTATGAGACATGAGAAGTAAAATTCTAAACCAGAAACAAACATGCTGACATCCCACTTTCCGCAAACCCTGGCCTTTTCCTTAGTACCTATCTGTCGGTATTTTTTCCACATTGTCTTCTGAAACGATATAACAAAAATAAGTGAGTTTTAATACTATTTTTCTTAGTAGGACTATTTCCTATTTGGTTGTACATCTTTATAATTACTTTTTTAGCCTCATCATTGTGTATTCTGCCATGACTTAGTCAGCCGTTTCTATAGTAAGGTTACTTCTCCTTTCTGTTAGCAAAGGGAGTTATAGTGAATATCTTGATTCTCCTTTTGCTCTTGGCTAGACCCTTTGAAGTATGATTACCAGAGCAAAGGATATACATATTGTGTGTGCGCGCATTTATTTTTTTAATTATTTATTTAATAACCACATAATTAGAAGAAACATTTCATTGCAACAGCTTTGACATATTCAATAACAATTTCCAGAGCTAAGATGCATCGCTTTCAATATTGGCTGTAAATTTTTAGCTTTACAGTTGAATTAATACAGTTATACAATATTGTACTCAGTATAAACCCTATAAGACATAAAATTGAATGAGGTTTTAACGTTTAAAAAAGATCTCCATTTCATTATTAAAATACACAGTTTCATACAGAAAAATTCATTTTAAATGCAATTAACACTAAGATGTTTGCACATGAGTTTCTAATCTCTATATATCTGATTATCACTAGTCACAATCAGTTACTTTCCAAGATCCTTGGCATCTGAGCATGGGTATAAAGTCATCCAGTAGATTTCAATGGTAATGTTTTCCACATCTAATTATTAAGGAGCAAATTTTTATGCCTTGAAGAATTTTTTTATTTAATAACCACATGATTAGAAGAAGCATTTCATTACAGCCTTAACATACTCAGTAACACACTCTAGAGCAAGAATACATCTCTTTCCAAAGTGGCTATAAATTTTTAGGTTCACAGTTGAATTAATACAGTTATACAATATTGAACTCAGTATGAACCCTGTAAAGCAGTTACTTTTAAGGGAATGGTTCAAATCCAGACTTCACCATCTAAGGAGGGAGTGGGCTACACACAGGGAGATATTGATGGTACTTGCTTATGTTACTGTGACAAAATTCCTGAAACAAGCACCTTAAAATAAGGAAAGGTTTATTTTGCTTGTGATTTTTGATATTTCCATTGTCACTTGGCCCTATTTGGTAGCAAAGTATGGTCATGGTAGGAGCATATTGCAGCCATGAGGCAAAGAGAGAGAAAGAATCTGGAGTCCCATTTTCCATTTCAAGGGTACATTTCCAATTACCTAATTTCTTTCTACCAAGCCCCACCTACTAAAAATTCTCCATTCCTCATAGGGACCTCTCTTTGTTTCAACACATGGACCTTTAGGAGACATTTTAGATCCAGACTGTAACATTGCTCCTCCAAGGACTGTCCTAGAGAACACTTGTCCCAAGGAATTTTCCCCTAAGGTACAGTGGCCTGTTCTAAAGATAGACATACTGATGCCTTGGAGATAATTCCCCTTGTTCAGATTTCATGGATTTATGATCATAAACTAGCTGGCATAGGGCTTGCCTGCAGGAAAAGAAGTTGCTGGAAGGCCCAGATGTCTATCTCATTCCACTGTTGCATTTCTTATTATAAACCAGTAGTCTGACCTCCCCATTTTACACAGATTCGGTAAGCTCTACTCAGGGAAGTCATCCCCCAAGGAACAGGTCTTCTTCTTGGATTCAGAATCTAAATGTAATCTAGATGTGTTACAAGGCAGAGGCCAAACTCGGCCATGGACTCATGGCCCCACCCTCCCAGTGTATGCTTTAAGCTTGCATTTTTCTTTCAGTCCCTATTGAGAATCACAAAACCACAGTATCCATCTACCAAGTGGGTTTTTTTTTTGTAATGTTTTGTTCAAACGGTGATTTTCTGCTTCTCACGCATAGAAAAGAGGACATCCTCCATTCCAAGACTGAAAAACATAGCTCATGTCATATTGTGGACCCAGTGCATCTTAGCTGGGTGATTCTAGTCTTATCCCCTGCAGTTGAGGAGCAGGCCAGCAGGAAGAGGCAACTGTGAAATATTCAAGTAGTCCCAGCCTTGAGTGTGGACACATAAAAAATAGAATCCATATTTTTTTTCAAGTCAAGAATTAAAAATGGTAGTTATGAGTTTTACAGTGAATGGGGAGGAAAAGGGGAAGACTATGCTCATTCTGTGTATTTTAAACATTTCAGCCACGCTCTGGAGTCTTACACTGCCATTCCCTATAACATGCGGAGCCCTTGCCCTTCCAATCCCATCACAAGGCCAGCATACCAGGGCAGCAACCCAATCAGCGACATCTGGGCAGTCCATGCACTGAGGATTATAGCCAAGTACCTGAAGAGGTATGTCACCCTGGGGGGCAGATACAAAACAGAAAACCCATTTTCTGCTCTCATGTGAAGCCTGACATCCCTGATCTTGAAAGGTATGCTCACCAGATCTTTCTCCAATGTGGAAAAGTGTGAGATGTGGAGAAGTGGTAGTCACTGGTGAGCTCTGAAGGGGTCCAAGGGATGACAGGTGAAAATTGGACCCATCAGTCTAAGAAGGAGACAGTTGAAAGCCCCTAATATATAAACAGCACAGATAGATTAAGAAGAGGTTTATAGACAGACATGATTGTACATGCCTATAATTCCAGCACTCATAGTCAGAGGCAAGTGGATCTCCATGAGTTGTGAGTTCCAGGCTAGCCAGGGCTACACAGTGAGAAAGTCTAAACAAAAAGAGGAGAGGGTTGTTCATCCAAGTTCACAAACTAGCCAAATGTGGTGGCCCATACCTGTGATTCCAGAATTTAGGAGGCTGAGGCAGGAGGACTCCTGTGAGTCTGAGGCCAGTCTGGGCCACATAGTGAAAACTAGGCCAGCAAGCAAGACCCTTTCTCAAAAACAGCAACAGAAAAAAAATCTCTGAAACTGAATCCAAGATGAGGGGAGATGCCTTTGCGACTTGGCAGAAATGAGAACCACACAGGCAGATGTTGGCAGTGTCATCTACATCCCAAAGACACACAGAAGCCTCCCAGTGAGCAAACTCATAGGAATTAAGGTCAAGAAAAAACTATGTGGAGATTGCTGACTGAGGCGATAGAAAAGGTATTGCCTCCAGTGTTTACAATGTAAAAGGATTCCCAAAAGGTTTTGAAAGATTTAAGAACATAAATACAAACCAACACAATTGCACATGCTATAATCCCAACTACTGGAGAGACTGAGGGAAGATCGCTTGAGCCTAGGAATTTGAGGCCAGCCTGGGCAACATAGCAAGATCCCTGCTCTAAAACCAAAAATTTAAATTAATTTTTCAAAAGCTGATTCACACGCCAAGTGTGTTGGTACCTGCCTTTAGTCCTAGCGCCAGGAAGGCTGAGGCAGGCAGATAGATCTCTATGAGATCGAGGTCAGTCTGGTCTACCTAGCATGTTCCAGGCCAACTATGGCTACAGAGAAACACTGTTTCAAAAAAAAAAAAAAAAAAAACAAAAACAAGCAAACAATAAACCAGTGATTCAGTCTTTTAAAAGCTTAAAAAATACAAATGCGTACATGTACATAATGATAGCCATAGGCTATGAGAGAACAAGGAAGAATAAACTCCTGAAAGAAGAAGAGCTTATAGTGGTACCTACAGGGCATTGGTTTCAGGGCCCCAATGAACACCAAAAACTGTCCTTTATGTAAAATGGTCATAACATTTGCGTATAACCTCTACATATTTACCTGTATATTTTAAATCCTCTATATTGCTTATAATATGTAACATGATACAAATTCTATGTAAATATTTATTAGACTATCTTGTTTAAGGAGCAATTGCAAGGAAAAAATATACTTGTTCAATTCAAATACAGAGTTTTTTCCAGGATATTTTCTTTTACTTTTTTCTTTTCTTTTTGGTCTTTTTGAGACAGGGTCTCTCTGTAGCCCCAGCTGTACTGAAACTCACTATGTAGACCAGGCTGGCCTTGAGCTCATAGAGATCCGCCTGCCTCTGCTTCCCAGTGCTGGGATTAAAGTCATGCACCACGACATCCAGCCTTCAGAGGTTTTTCCAGAATATTTTCAATCTATGGTTAACTGAGTCTGTGGATATAGAACCCACAGAGAAGGATTAGCTATATTTTAAACATGAAGAGTGACACCTGATATGAGTCAGATTCATTTTTGTATTTATATACAATGGAGGGAAGGGACATGGGCCTTTAGGCTAGGTAGGTCTAGATGTGGTCACCGTGCCTCCTCTAGCCTTGACTAGAAATTCTCCTGGAGAGGGGAACCTGGATTCACATTTTGTAGCACTATGGAAGGAATGGATATGAAACCCTGGACATAGGAGAGCTGCAGAGAAGCTCAGCAGTGCTAGATTACAGTAAAGAGTAAAACAGACTCAATAAGGAGACAGAAGGTTGACAGAGCCACCATGAGAAGTGAGAGGCTGGGATGAACAGAGGGCATACTGAAAGCTGATCATCTGCTACTCAACCTTTTAGTCTGGGAATGAGGAGCTAACCTTGCATTGTGGAAAGGCAGAAACACCTAACCATTTAAGTGTCCTAAGAGGACCCCTTACCAAAGGCAAAGTCTGGAAACATCTAGTAGAAGTGGTTCACTGGGTAAGCTTCAGGCTCTCTCCTGGGGACAGTTTCCAAGCAGGCTGAGCAAGTCTCAAAGGCTCTATGAGAATTTGTTTTTCTGAAATGGCACTGGGAGTATACAGAGCAAGCTATGGCTGGTCCCACAGTAACAGCCCGCTTCTACAGTCACAATATGGGGAAAGTATGCAGTTTCAACATACATGAAAAGAGGTCCCAGTGGATTCAGTTTGGGTCCACGTCACAGAAAAAAAGATGGCTAGGCCAGCTGGGTTGGCCTGCAAGTAATCCTGGGTGACAGGACTCAGGGTGCATTCTGAGAATGTGGCACTCTGAGCCTCAGGTCACCTCCCTAGAGCAGCGATCATAGTCCAAGGATCAGGGCTTTGCTTCCCCAGCACCTTTATATCACAGGAGTGGCTGACAGCATATTTATTATGCCTTTGGAGAAACTGTTGATGAGAAAACATGTTTCCCTTCGGTTTCCATTTAGAAGACAAGGTGTTGTTTGAATAACTTGTCTAATTTTTCTTCCTACTGAGTGATATTCCCCCTTCTCATCTTTCCCTAAAGCAGTTCTTTATTCAGTAGGAAATGCCAAAGTTGGTGTTGTTCTTTGGTATTTATATAATTGCAGGGCTGTCAGAAATCCTGATGATCTTGAAGCAAGGTCCAGTATGCACTTGGCAAGTACTTTTGCTGGCATTGGCTTTGGAAATGCTGGTGTTCATCTATGGTAAGTAAACATGTGATTTATTTTCTTAACTCAAGATGCTGCTTCAAAATATATATGTACATTTTGGACTGGAGAGATGGCTCAGCAGTTAAGAGCACTAACTGCTCTTGCTAGAGTACCTGGGTTTGATTCCCAGCACCTACATGGCAGCTACCAACTGTCCATAATTCCAGTTCCAGTGGATCTGACCCACTCTCTAACTTCCTCCAGCATTGCATGACAGGGGTGCACTTACACACATGCAGGCAAATTACTCAAATACATAAAATAAAAATAATAGATAAAATATATAAATGTAAAAGCACACAATTCAGGGCAGGTGACAAATTTTAAATATGCTATGTAAGGAATAAATCTAAGGTCTGAAAATATTTTCATAACTTGAATTCAGTTTATTGGGTCATGTATTTTTTATAATGGCTTTCAAAATACAATCTGCTCATTTAAGCATATAATTCACTGGTTTTTAGTCTTTGCACAAAGCTCTGCAACCATTGATTTAGAACATTTTATTGCTCCATAAAGAAATCCCATACCCCTTAGCTGTTGCCTACCAATCCCCACACCTTTCTCACTGTTAAGAGGCTGCTGAGCTACTCCATACATCTCTCTACATCTCCCCACTTGGGGCATGTCATAACGGAAAATCATGTGCTCTTTCATGTCTGGTGTGTTTTATTTATTTACTGTTACTACTGTTGCTAAGGTTCACTCATTCATAAGCACTTCACTCCTTTTTACTGCTAGGCAACATTCTTTCCTGTTTTACTTGATCATTCATATCAGTTGATGGGCATTTGGGTTGTTGGTTTTATAAATAATGTTGAAATGAACATTCCTGTGCAAGATTTTGCATACACGTATTTTTGTTGCTCTTATTTTGGACATATGAGTGTGATTTCTGGATCATACAGCAATTCTACATAGTTTTTTAAAGAAACTGCCATCTTTTACACAGTGTCTATGCCATTTTATATTCACACCAGCAGTAATCGGAGTTCTGCTGATTTCACCATATTTTGCCATGTAATAGATTTTTAAAATCTAAAATGCAGAGTTTTCCCCTTTAATGTCTCATGAACAAAAAGGAGAGGGGGGATAGATGAGAATCTTTGTCAAAGGCTCAAAATGAGTCTATTTGACTGAAACTTTATTAGTATGTTGCTTTAACATCAAAAAATAGAGAAGGTTGAAAATTAGAAAAGGGCTTTACTAGGCTGTACTGAAATGATGATCCTCAAATTCTGTTGCTGATAGGAGAATAAATTGATTCTACCAAAAAATGAATGAACAAAATGTACCAGAGCCTGAAAGTTTTTTCTCCCTCTGGGCCCACTAATTCACTTTTAGGAATCTAGCCTAAATAAATAGCCATAGATGTTCAGTGGATTTCCTTCTAAAGATATTTGTCTGTAGCACATATAATTGAAAAAAAATTTTTTTAATGCACACTTGATTTACAAGAGTTCGTACTTAACTATAGTACTTAAAGAATAAAAGTCATTAGAGATATTATTTTAAAACAGATTTATATGGGAAAATGTTACAAAGATTATTAAGTAACATCCAGGCACAATGGCTCACACCTGTAATCCCAGCACTTGTGAGGTAGAGGTAGGAGGATCACGGGTTCTAGGTCATCCTCAGTTACATAGACAGTTTGAAATCAGCCTACATGAGACTTAAAACAAAAAAAAAAAGAATAGCAGTAACAAAAGAAGTGTATGAAACTATATGCACAATAAGATCATAAATTATTACATCTGTGTATAAAATGGCTAGGAGGAAACAGGATTATGGATAATTTTTATTTTCTACAAAGAACATAGACAACTGTTAAAAGCAGTCAACTGAAATTTTACATATTGCAGAAAGCTGCCTTTGAAAGCTACACGAATCCTACCACATCTTGAAAACACACTGAGCAATAATTTTCTGATCCCAAGAGAGGCAAAGCATATTCCAAAGTATCCAATAACTCCGAGAAACAGCAGCTCCTGATTTGTCCCATACAAGATGTTTGAACTCAATTTTTCAGTAAACATTCATATAATTCACCAAAATACTTCTTCTTATGAAATGTAAATCTTTTGCTAGATAAATACAAAGTCATCCAATAACCCATATGAAAGAGCTACAGACTATTTTGCTCATATTTAGTATTTCATTTTTGTAATATTAACTGTGAATATTACATGTTAATTTGTCACAATATTTATCTTCTGAATTATCCATTACACTACACTATTTTCCTGTTTGTTCACTAAGAATTCAAAAGGATATAAAGTTTGTGTTTTCCAGTAAAAATAAAATCCATTGGGGGCTGAGGAAATGGTTCAGTGGGTAGAGTGCTTGCTGCACTTTGAAGCTGGGCATGGCCTCATATACCTGTAACTCCAGCACTGTGGGATACAGAGACAGGAAGATCTCTGGGGCTTGCTGCCAGCCTAGCTCCAGGTTCAGGAGAAATCCTGTTTCAAGAATAAAGAGGAGAGGATAAATCAAGACACCCAGTTCCCCTTCTGACTCTTGCTTGTGTGTGTGTGTGTGTGTGTGTGTGTGTGTGTGTGTATCCATGAAGTCTTTTCTTGATGACTGCTAAATCTAAATAAATCCTTAAGGCAGAATGCAGGCAAGAGAAGTCAGTTAATAGAGAACTGATTATCCTAGCATCTCAGGCTATTTATGATTCAACACCATTAGTATAAACATTTGAAACAGTCTATCAAATATTTGAGGGACAGATCACTGGTTGGTCCAGCTTGTATATTATCAAATGCATGCATTCTATGATCATTGATGTTTGAGTATCTCAGAAGTTCTATTAATGAATACACTAAACTTGGAGTACATCATAATACATCTTTGCATCAAAAAAAATGCAGCATATAAACTCTGTGAGATAACAATACTGTCCAGAGATGGGAAGGGTGCTCTCATAACAATGTCTGTGTTTACTAAATTTGGCCATCTGTGTGTCAACATAAGAATTTTTTCTTTTCCAGCCATGGCATGTCTTACCCAATTTCAGGTTTAGTGAAGACATATAAAGCCAAGGAATACAATGTGGATCACCCTTTGGTGGTAAAAATATCTTAATATTAAATTACTTAATTAAATCTTATAATCCTCACAATTTCCAGAAGTATATTTGTCAGTGGGGAGGGGGTGCTGGGGACCAAACCCAGGGTCTCATGCATGCGGGCAAGCACTGTTCCACTGAGCTCCACCCCTAGCCTATTCCTTCAGTTCATGACTTCTCAGAGTACTCTAGTCTTATCCAGGGTACCAAGGAGGAAGAACAACCTTTCTGTCCATCTCTCCCCAGCCCCATGGCCTTTCTGTGGTGCTCACATCTCCAGCAGTGTTCACCTTCACAGCCCAGATGTTTCCAGAGCGGCACCTGGAGACAGCAGAAATATTAGGTATAAAACATTATTCATAAATCTGTGGTCCACTGAGGTGGAGTGTTTCCCAGGATTCTTCCTGAATATAACCATAAAAGTAACACACAAAAAAAATGTTACTTTGGAGTAGCTCAAAAACAAAATATTGGGGCTGGAGAGATGGTTTAGCAGTTAAGAGCACTGTCTGCTCTTACAGAGGACCTGGGTTCAATTCCTAGCACCTACATGACAACTAACAACAGGTAACTCCAGTTCCAGGGAATCTGATGCCGCCTTCTGACCTCCAAGGGTACTGCATAACATAGGTGCACTTACATACACATGCAGGCAATACACTTATACATATAAAATAAAAATTTAAAAATAAAATATTAGTGACTTGATCAAAGCCTTAGCTAGCACTAACATGCCATAAATTTAGGTTTCTAAGAATCTATTAATGACATGGAATCAAATATTGATGCCACTAAGTTTTTACTACTATTTGCTCTTCATCCCCAAAGGAAGTCTAGCTCTGTATGTACAATTAATGTTATAACTGACTTTTGCTATATTAAATTGATGATAAGATTAATCTGAATCAGGAAACAACAGTAACCTCCCCATCACAGAGAACCTCAACAAGAAACTTTTTTAATTAATTAATTAATTTATTTATTTATTTATTTATTTATTTTTACACCCACTTCCCAAATAGCACCCTCCCATAGCCTCCCTCCCCTGACTAGAGCCCTTATACTCTGATATCCCTGCTACTGTCTGCTGTGTTGTTGGCACCCCCAGCCATTCCCCACTACTTGACCTTCTGGTGAATCTTTTTAAAAAAAATTGTAAATAAGCAATCTGTTTGCCATACTGTAGAATAAGTAATGTCTATAATAAAATACCCACAATGCCTTTTGACTCTTCCCAGAAATAAAATTACATTCCAGGTAACTGTAGTAGGAGGTAAAATTTTAGTGTTTTTCTGAAACAAGAACTCTTTTCTTAGGTGAATTGGAGAACTTGATTAACATGCAAAACATCTTGTTCCCCTACTTGAGTTTAGGGTGGGAAGGGAAAGGCTATAAAGAAAACTTTATTCTTCATTATGCTCTTGTAGCTTCAGACGTTGGAGAGATTATTCCCAAGGAGGTAGGAGCAACCACAGACATCCTCCTGCAGGCTGCTTTCCTCCCTCCCTCGCACACCAGCCCTTTGTGTGTCCCACAGTTCCAGGTGCTGTGCTAGGAATGTTAATGTCAGAAGCCAAGGACTGGGAGCCAAACCGGGCTTCAATTTTCACTGTAAGAACACATTCCCAGCATTACCAAGGACTGTGTCCCTTTTCCTTTAGGATGGGAAATGTGTGGTCTTTGTAAAGTTGCGAACAGTAAAAATTAGAGAGAGGTCCAACTTGTAGGCTAAATTTATCATAAATGGGAAAAATCTCAGTGAAGTTACAGTTCACATCCCAGGTAACCATACTGAGAAAGCAGGTCCTCTGTTTAAACAAAATCAGGGGAAGGACCCACCAGTTCTTCCTAATTGCTTAAGAAATTACAGTAATCTTGGATTTTTCCGTAGTTAGACCAATGCATTTTCTTTCCTATCATCTCTTTTTTTCTAAAAATGCTTCATAGAAGGCACAGAGGTTTGTATGGCATATTCTATGACAGCCATCTCAGGATCACATAACATTGTAACCCTGTATCATGTGTCACCCCAACTAATCTGCACTTAAGCTGCCACCTGGTATTACAGACTACCCTTGCCAGGCACAGTCGCTTTTCATCCTGTTGCTCTCCATCTGGCCCTGTATCTGGTTCTATTTATACCTTTTCCTGGACTTCTAAAGTAGTTCTGACCATCATAAAAGGGAAAGGCTTAACGCTGACTTAGCAACATGCTTCATTGTAGAGGTGGGCCGTGGTGCCAGTCTCCTTCATAGGCATTTTGTTTAGATGTCATACAATGCTATTTTCCCTTTGTAGACTTTTCCTTTTGGGTAGCACAAGTATTCCAATCAAATAGATGGACCATAGGGCAGGTGCTAGGGATTGGGAATTCAGTTGCTTCCTCTGGGAAGTTCACACTGTCCTGCCTGGTAACAGAGCCCCATGGCTCTTCCAGACTGATGTATCTGGGATTGTGTGTGCTAATTATGAATCATTAAACTTCTCTCCTTACAAATCTCAAAACCTTGGCAAGCTTCTTGCCACTTCACAATATCATTATGTGATGAAACACTGTTTCCTAAGCATCTTTGTGTTCTTTGTTCTACCCTGCTGGTGCTGCAATATTTATTAAGAGAAATGTGTTCTGTCCTTTGGCAACATAGTCCATAATAATTTTTTAAATTATAGATATAAAGAGGAAATTTTTCCTTCTGTGATCACATGTAACCAATTTTTGTCATCCTTTTTTTCTTCTTTCTTGGTGTTCAACATGGGGGTCTTGCCTCACAAGCTGTTTGCAAAAAGCCTTGTGTTTTTCTGTTGCTGTGAGAAGACATTGAACATGCACACCTCTAGATGTCAGCAAACTCTAAGCCTTAGAAGTCACGTAACTGTGCCCCCCACACACACAAATGGTTCTCCCCACCTCATCCAGGCACCTCATCTCTTCTGAACCTCTTTCCTTGGCTCCATTTTTCTTCTCTCCCACCACATCAAGGGTGGACAGATAGCAAAGAGAATTTCCCTGAAATTGTGAGGGCTGTGAGTGCTCAGCTAGCTAGCTGAGTGCAGTTACTGGCTCCTCAGTCTGGCCTTACCAATGTGTGTTCCATGGGGTTGACTACTGACTACTAACCCACCTTAGGGGATCCTAGTGGTGCTCTTGACCTCAGTGTTTCCAAATTACATATTCTGCTGATAATGTGACTGGGCCATACCCAGAACCTGCTTCTCTCTGTACGATCTGCACTTTATGTCTTCTAGGAGCCAATATCCGCACTGCCAGGAGCCAAGATGCTGGGTCTGTGTTGGCAGATACACTCCGAAAATTCCTATTTGACCTAAATGTTGACAATGGCCTAGCTGCCCTTGGTTACTCGAAGGACGACATCCCCTCACTAGTGAAAGGAACCCTGCCCCAGGTAAGAGGTACAGCATGGTCTTTCCTCCTGTTAAACACAGAGCTAAAGGGGACAAAAGTCCAGATCCTCCAGCGGTTCTCCAAACCACACAACAGTTCTCTTCTCCAGCACAAAGAAGCCCCAGGCCCCTATGCCTTTATGTTCTTCCGTAAAATTGTAGTTGGCTGGAGGTTTCATGGAAAAACTGAAAGGATCCTTTATGAAACTTCATGGCACAAACTGCCAACTTGATCTCAAGCTATGGAAAGACTTCCCTTCCCCCCATCTCTGCTCCTTCAAGGGTTCCCTGTAAGACTATGCAAAGCCATTCCAAAAGGACTACTACTATTATTTTTCACTATAAAGAATGCAAATTCCTACTCTTTTGTGAAATGTAGGTGTAGTCTTTAAATTGAAACTATTAGAAGTTTGCGTTTGAGTCATTTGGGGATATTGTATACACATCTGTGCCCTTCTGTGCCTTATTTAAGTCTTGCTAAAGAATCTAAACTGAGATACCCTCTTTTATTTGGTAAAGTCATGGTAGATATAAAACTCCCTCTCCCAAGAACATCCTGAAGAGATGTGATATCTCTGGAGCTAGTACATCAAATCTTAATGGGCCAAGATCCTGATTACTGCAATTTTTCATGAGGTAGGGAGCTTAGAATCATGAGCACAGAGTTGATGGACCACACCATGCTCACCACACCAGTGTACTTCCTTAGCCATTCCTGCCAATATGGAAAGGTAGGATCACCATGGGGCTTTTCTGTCCAAATTAAGGCATTGAAGGATCTCCCTCTGACACTGAAACAGAGCCAACAGTTGGAATATCTGCTTGTTCAGCATCCTGCTTACCACAACCACCGGTGCTTTTTCCTCACCCCACTCCAGGAAAGCAGGGACCTCCAACTGGCTCCTTTATCCCACATCATCAATGTTCAGACTATTAATGACCTTACAATTTACAAAAGATATTTGCATGGTTTGGGCTCTCAGGCTTTTATGTCCACAGAAGCAATGTAGGGAATAGGAATGAACAATGTAATTTGAGGCATCAGGGAGTAGTGGGGATATCAGTGTACTGGAAAGCATGTGGCCCATCTAACAGGACACAAGCAGCCGTTCTGCTAGTTACAAACACCAAGTATAAATTCAGGTTCTTGTGTTGGTAGAACTTCCAGTGTTTAAGAAGAATCAACAACCTGAGTGTTTCTTCTGTGTTCCTTGGTTTCTTATTGTACAAATGAAAGATGACCCATATATCACTGGTTTCCCTGAGTTAGATTCAAGCCCTGTGGATCTAATTGTATCAAAAATGTTAATAAGTGAGAAACATAAGCCTCTCAAGGTATAGCGTTTGTGCGAGCTAAACTGCAAACCCATAGTTCTAACGCATAAGTTCAAGAAACTAAATAGCCAAAATGTAAGGCCCAAGGCCATCATCATTGTTTTAGCCAAACCTACTAGGCTAGAAATTCCAAGAATGCAAAAATCTGCTTTGCTCCGTCCTCTATCACAACTGTCACAAGGTAGTAGAGATGCTGAATAAATCATACCTACAGCCTCTTCTCCTAAAACCTACATCCAGGTGAGCCAAGTGGCTGGAGAGCAGTAGCTTTTTAAGATGTTTCCTAAGACTGACAGGGGAACCATGAAAGCCTGTCCAGAGAGTCAACAGACTGAGTGTCCACCATGATTTCAATATGGGCCATGGTTTCATAGAATGATCCCAGCAGTACTGTCCATTCTACAAGGGAGCCTCTGAAAAGTTTAGCCCAGGAATGTATTCAAGAATATGAATTTGGGGAGCTGACAAGAGGACTCAGTGGGTAAAAGTGCTTGGTGCCAAACCTTATGACCTAAATTTAATCCCTGGGACCCACATAGTGGAAGGAGAGAACCAACTCCAATCAAGTTGTCCTCTGACCACCATATGTGTACCATGGTGTGCATGCACACGCACATGTGCGCGCGCACACACACACATACACACACCAAATTAATTAATTAATTAATTAATTAATTAATTAAATAAACTTAAAATTTATCTGCTTCCAAGAATGGTATCTATGAGTTCCAGATAAAACTGTTTGATTTTCTGGCCATTTAATTGCTGGCAGCAGTGCATCTTCTAGTCACTAGCTGACAGTAGCAAGTGACCTTCCCTTTCAAAGGCTATCCCAGAGATCAGCAGATCCACACTAGCATTTGACACCATCCAACTAAGATAGCAACTTAATTAGGTACCATTCTGAATGTCTCCTCATACATGTCTGTGGGAAATCCCAGAACAAAAACCTTAATTAAACCAAATTAACTTCGTAGTCTAGCAAAAGTGTGAAGTAATGGAATCTTTTAAGTTATAGCCCAGGCTGACTTCAAACTCAGCTCCTCTTGCCTCATCCTCTTCAGCACTTACCTGCAGGCATGCATTGCCATGGCCAACCAGGAAATAGAATCTCTTAAGTGTACATCATGTCTTAGAGTAGAAGCCAAGATTTCAAGATGTTTTCATAAAGATGTATTCTGCCTTTCTCTCTTTGGTCATGTTGTCATGATTACAAAGAGACATTGTTAATTTTAATTAACTAGCACTCATTCCATTTTGGAGCCAATGTGATTGAGATATGCATGTATTCACAGACTCATAGGACTTTAAAGAGAAACTGATAATCTTAGAAATAAGCCATTCTCCAGATGAAGATCTCCTGTGGGGTGGGGGATTATTTTGCTTTCTGGCAGCAGCGACTATTTTACAGAAATGCTATGGCAACCTCAGAATTTTACAGGTACAGTGGACTAATTTTCACTTATTACTATCTCCCAGATTTAAGGTAGTGTGAAGGATAATCTGGTCCCTGCAAAGAACCTTGCCAGAAAGTTTATTTCTTGTAGTCCATTTTTGATAAAGGTTCTTTTATGTTCAGCAGCCAGGGATCACTTTTCTCTAGAAGGAACAATCAAGCTAGTATTCTTGGCCAAACACCACAGCCTATGGTGGTGGGGGCAAATAGCAGCAGGCTTCCAACTGCCATAGCCAGGCTGCAGGGGGAGCAGACAAGAACAAATTAATCTTCCAAACTGGATTCTGAAACCTCTGGAAAGAAACATTTACATTTAAAATCAAAACATTTCATTACTGAGGAGAGCTGTCTACCCAAGTGAGCACTCCCACTCCTGGTAGACAGGCCAGATGAAGTGGTATTATTTTATGAATGTGCTAAAAGTAGAAGTCTGTAGTTATTTCAGTGCCATGTTAATCAGTTGTTCTTTGGTCTTGCATGCCTATAAATAATAGCACATTACTCAACACGTCTTCATTCTGAAATAGTTTAGCTTTTATATGGCAAAGTAGTTGTATACTGTATCTTTGCTATGGTTAACCAATCATTGGGGTTAGAAATTTGAAAGAGAAACCTATCAGAGGCTTAGAGTCAGGTGCTTCTGGGAATCCTAAACTGCCTCACCTAAGATAAACAGGATCTTGTTGAGAGACTTTGAGCTCATCAAATAAGACTCTCTTCGTTATAACAAAATGTTGTCATCACCATCATCTGTGGCCATAGAACACATTGAACTTCAGCTCTTCACCTGTCACAAGTTAGGTGATGTCATGCTAGACAGATAGATTCCTAGATAGATTCATAGATAGGTTATAGATAAATAGATACATAGATAAATACATAGATCATAGGTAGATATGTAGATAGATAGGTAGATTATAGAGAGGTCACTGACAGATGATATATAAACAAATAGATGATTGATAAATAGATGATGGATAGGTACATAGATAGATGATATATAACAGATCATAGATAATAGACAAATGAGAGATAGATTGATAGATAATGATAGAAAGATAGAAGATAGATGGATGATAGATAGATAAAAGAAAGAAAGATAGATAGATAGATAGATGATAGATAGATAAAAGATGATAGATTAGCAGATAAATAGACAGATGATAGATAACCATTAGCAGCCTCTGCCTTGCTATGGATTTTCTAACTTTCACAGAATCTCTTCAAAATCTGCTAGGATATAAACATTTTGCCTTTGTCTAACCCATATTTATCAGCATTTTCCTCACTCCAAACTGTCATCCATTCTTATTTCTTGCTTTATTTTTAATTGTTGTAAAATAACATCAATTTACCATATTAACCGTTTTTATGTGTACAGTTCAATGCTAATTAGTGTATTCGCAGTGCTACACAGTAACTACCATGATTCATTGAAGAACTGATTTTTAGCATTCAAATAGCCCTGTATCCATTGAGTACTAAGACCTCATACTGCCTTCTCCAGCCCCTGGTAACTTCCATTCTACTTCCTGTCTCTGAAGCTGTCTGTCCTAGGTACCTCATGTTAAGTGGAATCTTGCAATATCAGTCCTGTTGCAAGTGGCTAATTTTACTTATCTCACTGTCCTCGGTGTTCATCAGCGTTGTAGCATGTGTTGGAATTTCATTCCTGTCTATTGCTGAGTAGTATTTCATTGTTTAAATATTGTTTTGTTCATTCATTACTTATGTTTAAAGACATTTCAGTTGTTTCCACCTTCTGGCTGTTTTGAATAATGCTACTATAACACTGGTGTTCATGTATCTATTTGCATGCCTGCTTTAAGTTACCTGGGGTATACACCAATAAGTAGAAATGTTAACTCACATGGTGATTTTTTGTTCTATTTCAGACAGAATCTCACTGTGTAGCACAGGTTGGCCTTGAGTTTGTGATCATCCCATATTCACCTCCCAAATGCTGGGATTTCAAGCAAGTGCTCTCTCACCTAGCCCAGTTTTTAATTTTTCAATGAACTACTAAACTTTTCCATAGTGCCAGCACCATTTTACAATTCTATTAACAATACACAGGATTCCCATTCTCTACACCTTTACCAACACTTATTATTTTCCATTATCTTTATAATGGCCACACTAATGGTGTGAAGTGGTATCTAGCTGATTTTCATTTCCCTAATACTAATAACACTGAACATCTCGTCATGTGCTTATTGGTTTGTTTTTTTTTTGTCCTTTTGAGACAGGGTCTCCCTGTAGCCACACCTGGCCTGGAGGCCTGGAACTCTCTACGTAGACCAGGCTGGCCTTGATCTCACAGAGATTCACCTACCTTTGCTTCCTGAATGCTGGCATTAAAGGCATGCACCACCATGCTGACTCGTTATTGGCTATTTATATATTTTATTTGAAGCAATATCTATTTAATTGTCTTGCCCATTTTTATTGATCCTTTGAGGTTTTATTGTTGTATTATAAGAATCATTTTTATTATGGACATTAATCTATCACATTGCTATTTGCAAACACCTTCCACATTTTGTGAATTCTCATTTCATTGTCTTGCTGGTGAAAATGAAAAATACTTGAAAAATGCTTCCTGAGATCCACCAGATGGTATGCATCTGTGGGCTACAGTGAGGAAAAAAATTAAGTCCCTCCCTTACCTGGAGCTTCCTCTCTAGTGAGAAGAAATGAACATCAGCAAGTGAGATAAGAGAAGTTTCAGCTAATGATCGTTAGTGGGAAGGAAAGCCTGGGAAAGAAGATGGGGAGTGGCCTTGGTGGACAATGTGGAGGGAGCTCCAGAGAGGCTGGCTGAGGGTTCTATGTGAAGTCCTCAACCTAGACATGGCAGCTAGGGAAAGTGGATGAAGGGAAAGGCTGAAATGTAAAAGAGATGGTGGGGCTAGGTATGGTGGTACACACCTGTCATCCCAGCTCTTAGAAGGTAGAGGCAGAAGGATCAGTAGATCAAGGTTCTGTTAGATAGTAAGGTTGAAGCAAGTCTGAGCTACACAGAACTGAGCTATACAGGACTCTGTCTCAAACAAACAAATAAGGGACAATGGGAGTAAGTGAAATGAGCCAGTGGCAAAGTGGGGAGCTGGGTTGAGAAACACAGCCAGATCTGAGAAGCATTCTGGAGATCGTGTTTTTTTATTTGTTTGTGTTGGGACAGTGTCTCATGTAGCCCAAGTTGGCATCAAATTTGGTATGTAACTGAGGATGGCCTTGAATTTCTGATGTAGCTGCCGAGATTAGAGGTATGCACATCAAACCCAGTTTATGTAGTACTGGGGGACAGAACCCAGGGCTTTGTGCATGCTAGGCAAGCACTCTACCAACTGAGCTACAGTTCCAGACCCTTGATTTTGTTCTAACCATGAAGGGAAGTTATCTAGAGCACTAAGCCCAGGAATAGACTGTCAAGATCTATGCTGGGGTAAGAGGATCTCTGGTTGCTGTCCAGACAATAACCTCTAGGGGGCGATAGTGGAGCAAAAATGGAAGCAGCCTATTGCAAGAGGCTGTTCAAGTAGGATAGGGGATGATGGTATCTCCTAGTCAGGTTAGAGCTCAAGGGGGTATGATTTATCTTGAAGATAGGTCTCGTAGTCTTGCTGATGGGCTGAACTTGCAGATCAAGGGAACCCATAGCCAAGGACATCCCTTAGGATTTTGTCTGAGCTACTGAATATCATTTCTAAAATGAGGAAATCAGCAATCCATTCTGTACATGTGACCTTTCATATATTAATAAGCTGCCTCCCCACAATCTTCATTAACTCAACAAAGTATTTCTCACATACTTAATTGTATGTTGGACACTCTGATAAGTACCATGTCAGAGCAGTGAACACAACTGAGCCTCTGTCCTCCTGAGCTTGCCTGACAAGTGTCCCAATACATGCTTATCATGGGGAAATTGCCCACCCCCCCAAACCAATAAAGATGGAGCCCACAAGAAGATGGCATATTTGTTGGTTTCATTTAAATCACAGATAACCATCCTAAGTCCCTTGCCTTAGAGGGATCATGGAGCCACTGAAGAAGTATATAGCCTAGGTTGTTGGCATCACTGACTCCACTCATAATGATCAACAGAGAAATCAAGCAAATCACTGAACTAGTCTGGAAAAGTAAATGTGAAAGTTTAGTTAATAGAGAAAAAAAGAAGTCACTTATTGCACATAACCTAAGCGCTCATGTCCTACTGAAAGTCCTTTTGAATGCAGCTTAAGGCCAAGTTGCAAAATAAATGGTCTTGAAAGTCAAGGACAAGGAGTTACATTTTCCTTAGTAGCACTGCCTGTACCTGCAACAGGGCTCTCTGCACATGGACAACTGACAGAGATTGTTGACTGAGCCAGTTTGATCAAGGTAGGATCAGGTCTGATTCTTACATTTGGACAGAAGACTGTTTCTATGGCAGAAAGCAAGGGGTGATGGCTTTTGAAAGCTTCCTGGGAAATCTGAGTTGGGAATTAACACAAAGGGGATTTGGGTGCGGGGAGGTGGTTTGCTTATTTGTTTGTTCATTTGCTTTTGACCACAGTCTTTCTATGTAGCCCAGGCTAGCCTTGAATTCATTGATTCTTTTGACTCCACACTACTATGCCAGGCTATTTCTGTACAATATTTTTAAATATGACTATTATTAAAGATATGACTATTATCAAGTCATTGTTTCTTATGACCAAGCTTATTTACATAACATGTAGCATTGACAAACTATCTTTTGCAAGCCTGAGTAACTCCTTTTGTTTACTATTTCAGGAAAGGGTCACCAAGCTTGCACCCCGTCCTCAGTCAGAAGAAGATCTATCTGCTCTGTTTGAAGCATCAATGAAGCTATATTAACTACCACTTCACTGGAAATAATTGCCATTAGCCATTGTGGTTCAGATAACAGAAGTTGATCAGGCTAGATCATTGTCTTCCTATCTCTACACTTCACTTACCTGTTACTGGTTTGAATGTGATATGATTTTATTCTTCAGGAGATTCCTTCATGCTATGTCAAATCCAGGGGCCACACCCCACAGGTCAGTGTGCTTATACCAAACTCCAGTGAATACTCTGCCTCTGGTCTATGTACCAAGTGGACAAAAACTGTCTGTCAAATCTATAAATATAAATAGTATATGCCCAGAAACTGATGTCTAGAAATTTATCCTGAAGAAATATTAACATTAGTGGCCAAAGAACTATGACAAGACTATTTCAGGCAGTGCTTTTAGAATAATAAAAATTGAAACAAATCTAAATATTCATTAAAAGTATATAAATAGCCGGGTATGGTGTCACACGCCTGTAGTCCCAGCACTTGGGAGGCAGAGGCAGGTGGATCTCTGTGAGTTCAAGGCCAGCCTGGTCTACATAATGAGTTCCAGGACAGCTGGGGCTACAGAGAGACCCTGCTTCAAAAAGTAAAAAAAAAATGTATATAAATAAATCATAATATATTAAATGGTAGAATACCTATGGTATTATTAATAAAGATTGAGCAAGTCTCTTGGAAATATGTATACTATATAATGGATACACATGCCAAAAGCAAGTTGTAGAAAAATATAACACTGTGGTCTCACTTATCTTTCCAACATGTGCCTATATGCAGGAAAGAAAAATACATATTGAATTCTTAAAGATATCAGTGGAGAAAGGGAATTGTGCTATAGAAAATCAAGAGAAAATGTTCACTTGTATTTTATACTTTCACTAAGGGGCTGAGATTAGAACCAGGGTCTTGCACATGTTAGGCAAGTGGTCCACCACTGAGCTGCATCCCCAGCCTTTGGTTTTTGAGACAGGCCTTGACCTTTCTCTGTGGTCAAAACAAATCTTGAATTTGGGATCCTCCTGCCTTCACCTTCTGGGTGCTGGGATTACTAATGTGTAGCGCCACACCAGGCCTATTCTTTTTTTTTTAATATTTTAGTTATTTTTATTTTATGTGTATGCATGTATTGCCTGCATGTATCGAAGTGCACCCGTGTTATACAATGACTGCAGAGGTCAGAAGAAGGCATCAGATCCCCTGGAACTGGAGTTAAAGACAGTTGTTAGCTGCCATGTGGATGCTGGGAATTGAACCCAGGTCTTCTGCAAGAACAGTCAGTGTTCTAAACCACTGAGCCATCTCTCCAGACTGCCCCACCCAGGCCTATTCTTGTATTTTGTATTTTATAAATACATTGTCTGAATGTGTAAAAGCAAGCAGTTTTCTTGTTTTGAAAAGGGAGGACAGGGCAGGAGAAATGGCTCAGCAGGTAAAGTGTTTACTGTCCAAGCATGAGGACTTGAGTTCAGATCCCTCCCCCACTCACCCATGTAAAAGCTGGCTACAGCTACCCATGTCTGTAATGCCAGCAGGTGAGGGGCAGGGGGCTAGAGAAAAATGGACCCCATGGCTCACTGGCCAGCTAGTCCTTCTGAAAGTATGAGCTTCAGATGCACTGAGACCCTGTCTGATAAACAAGGTGTAGAGTGACAGGAAGACACCAGATGTAAACCTCCAGCCTCTACACACACATGCACAAGCAAGCATACATACACACATACAAGTACACACACATACACACACACACACACACACACACACACACACACACACAGAGGGAGCAAGGGAGATGGCTCAGTCAGTAAAGTGCTTGCCGCACAAGCATAAGGATCTGAGTTTGGATCTCCAGCACACACAAAAAGCGGGGTACAGTGTTGTTCATCTGTTACCCAAGCACAGGGGGTGCAGAAACAACAGGATTCCCAGTGCTTCCTGGCCAGTCCATTTAGCTAATCGGCGAGCTCCAGGTTCAGTGAGAGACCCTGTCTCAAAAAATAAGATAGAGAATAAAAGGAAGAAACCCAGCATTGACCTTTGGCTTCTACATGCACATGCACACACGTGCACACACAAGGAGAAAGAGGGACTGACAGTGTACCTTAGTGGCAGAAGTGCATGCTTAGCACATATGAGACCCTGGGTTCACACATTTGCACATGGAAATACATACACATACATGTACACACTCACTCAAAAATAATTCTTAGAAAACATTCAAATTCTTTATACCAAGTACCTAAAGATAAGACATACCAACAGAATTTCAGCTGCACCTTGGTGAGGGCTATGTCTGGCTAAAACTCCTTCCCATGTTTCAGAAATAATGGAATGTAAGCATAGAAGCTGTATGTGAACAAGACAGAGAACAGGTCATCTCTGAGGAGCCTTCAGTAAAAGTTGACAATGAATGTCTGAAAATGCATTTGGCGTAGTAAAAAATCAACAAACAAAATGGGGTTTCCATTTAAAAAATGTCCAGATAGGTTAAGTTAGACAACTCTTATAATATATTTTTCCTTCTGTGTCCTTGAGGGATTTTGTTCCAAGACTCCATGCAGATACTAAAATCTGTGAATACACAAGTCCTTTATATGAAATGATAAAAATGGCACAACCTTTAGTACTACATACATGTATATGTATATATGAGCAATATTTCCACAAGCTATGCACATTCTCCTATATACCTTAAATTCTCTCTGGATTCTTTATACCTAATGCAAAGTGAATGCTATGTTAGTACTTGCCATGCTGTATTGTTTAGGAAATAGCAAGAAAAAGCAAACTGTGCATGCTATGGTAGGGCTAACTTCTTGTACATAAACAAGACTCTAGGCATGTGATACTCGACCTGTGCCGGAGACAGTAGAAAGCCATGCAGAAGCAAGAGGCTACTGCAGTGTGTGTCTACACACTTGACAAATTCAGCATAGTCTTCTGTATACAACAGACTAAGTTTTGTCCTTTGGGAATTTGTGAAATCATTCGCCTCAACATTTTCTATTTGGACTTAGCTGAATCACAGATCTGGTAATTTCTGTAATGTAGTATGACATTATTTAGAGACCTGGGACCCTGGAGTTTGACCCCAGGGTCACCTGAATCTTGCTGTATTCAATCAAGGAAGGCCTCTTTAGCCCGAAAATGTTATGAACAGATTTTATATATTATCTACTCTTGAATGTGAGATTTTGAACTTGAGAAATTTAATGAAAAAAATCATTTGAGATATAAAAATGAATTATTTATCTTTGAAGTATCTGATGCCTTTCCTAACTGTAGCCAGATGCCTAAATGTGACTCACCAGAAGTGTTTGGTATGTCTTCTGACAATGACTCTGCAGAGGAAGAATTTAAAGGCCAAACGTTAAGAAGCAGACTTAGGAAGCCTTAATGAATTTTTATCTTGATCCTCATCATTTTGTGCGGTACAATTTGGAACCATGGAAAAGAAGCCTTTTGTGATTTACCAGCTATTTTAAAAGCATAAGACAAAGTATTTGGCCTGTTTCTATGAATCAAACACTTGCATGTTACAGATATAACAATTAAGTGCATTTTTCTAATTTCAAATCCTATTTTTCTATTAATTTCCTTTTTTTTTTTTTTTTGGTCTTTTTGAGACAGGGTCTCCCTGTAGCCTCAGCTGACCTGAACTCACTATGTAGACCAGGCTGGCCTTGAACTCACAGAGATCTGCCTGCCTCTGCCTCCCGAGTGCTGGGATTAAAGGCGTACACCACCATGCCTGGCTTAATTTCCTTTTTTAAAAAATTTCTGGAGTCAGCTGTGCAAAAAAAAAATTCTGGAGTCATAGTTTACTTACATGGATTGATTTACTCTGCATGGGAAAACAATTAAAAAGAATGTCATTCAAGCATTTATATAATGTTGCATTCATGAAAGTATCATATATGAAAGCATTTTCACTTGAAATACATTATTTCTAATTTATCTATGAGGTAGGCACTAATTTGTTCCAAGTCAGGTCATGTTTCCATGATTTATTGTCAAGGGCCACGACAAGCAGGTAGCTGGTTTTGCTCCCTTGTTCCTCTTCTATGCACAGGAAGGGTTGTGTTGGGTTTGGTGGTGTTTGTGTAGCTCTGGACATAGCTGTAGGATGTTTTCAAGTGATCGGTGAAGTAAGTCTGCTTTTGTAAAATACAGACAAGTACAGTATTAAAATAGAGAGAAAGTGTGAGCACAAAAAGCTGTTTCTGGCCTTTTAACCCTGAAAAAGATTAATGGTTGTTTGGATTAGAAACTGTACCCTAATGAGGCATGCTGCCCCAGGGGAGGTATGAGAAGGATGACTGTTCACCTCCAGGTCAACACTGCACAGGCTGTGAGTCTCTGAGGCTCAGCAACCCCAAACCAGACAGCTGCCATTAAGTGCCTGGTCCTCTGGGAGCACCTGGGAGACAAGGCCATCACCATCACAATGGCCTGGGGGAGGCAATCCCCTGAGCACAGCCACAGTGAATGGCAGTAGTTGGTTCTTGGAGCCTTAGGTTGAATTACTGGCAGCTGGTTTGGGCAGGACCTGGTTTCTCCTGTTATTATTCCACTGATTTTCCAACTCCAATCACTCTCAAATTAAACTGCAACAACGGCTTGAGATCTCGTCCCATGTGACACCCTCATGAAGCTACACCCAGAACAACTAGCTAACTTCAAACCCTCATTCTTTCTGGCTTTAAATGTTGGATTTTTAGTTGGGTGGTTTTAATTACTTTCCAAATTGCACAGTTTTTCATACATTGAAAAATAATTAAAATACTTAAGAGAAAAGAAAAAAAACCTACTTATGAGCTCAGTATCCAAACACAGCTGTTAACATTTGATCTTTTCTTTGCATTTCTTCCATGTGGAAGGTATAATCTGCTCCTTTCTTGGAAGGTATGACACATTAAGTATTTTGCATGTCTCCACAAAATCTTCATGATGGTTACTTAAACACACACAATAGTTCACAGAATGGACTTTTAATAATTCATCCATAATACAGGCAATCAAGATGGCATCCAGATTTTCACTCCCACCGGTAACATAGCAGTGAACAGATGAATAACGTACACGTAGCGTTTTTATATTCTGTTACTTTCCTAGGCTGAGTTTCCCCAAAGAGAATTTTTACATTTTAATCATGAATATTTATATGACTCTTGATTCATATTTTCAAAATATATATATAGTACTTCATTTTAAGTGTTGCTTCCCCATTTCTTTAATCTTATTTCTCTTCAAAATAAATACCAGCACATAGCAACAAGAAATCCAACCAGGTTCATTCACATGGATGGACTGTGTTCGACTATTGTTTCAAATGTACAAAAGCTAACTGTGATTTTTCTTTTATATCATGAGAGTCAGAACTTCATATCCATGGAAGTTCCAGGACACATTTTGGATGCCCAAATCCAAAGCTATTCTAGTCCTTTGTATAAAATGGCATAGAAGTTACTTCTATCCTATATACATACCCCATATACTTTTAAATCATCTCAAGATGACTTCCAATGTCTAATACGATAT